CAGCATCATTAACGGTGATAATACTTTTGTTAGACAAATGTCAAACTAGGGTAGTGTCTTAGTCAGTTGGGCTCCTACAACAGAAAACCAGAGGCTGGGAGGCTTAAAACAGAATTTTATTTCTCATACTTCTGGAGTCTGGGAAGTTCAAGATTAAGGTTCCAGAAGATCTGGTGTCTGGTGAGGGCCACTTCCTGGTTTGCAGATAACCATCTTCTAGTTGTATGCTTACAAGGAGGAGAACAGAGAGAGAGGGGAAGCAGACTCTTCTGTGTCTTTTTAAAAGGGTGCCAATCCCATTCACAAGGGCTCCACTCTCATGACCTAATCATGTCCCAGAGACCCTACCTCCTTATACCATCACATTGGGAGTTAGGATTTCAACAGATGAATTTTGGAGGGAAATAAACATTTAGTTCCTAGCAGGTAGTTACTCTTGTTTGAAACCAAACCCTAGACAGTGGCCTGGTATTTGGAAAGGAGAATAGGGACTGAGAAATTAAATTCACATATGTCAGTAAGCTTTCAGGGCTTCAGTCCTGGTGCATGGCTGGGTTGCAGAGCAGGAAACAGGCACAAGGAAGGGACATTCCTGGCAGGGATAATGTGAAGACTGTAGCTGTTTGGGCGTAAGGAAGCCCACAGAATCATCCAAAGACACTGCCAGGACTTGGGATGGCAAATTAGCGGTAGTTATCTACTTCTGAGTAATGGAATTTTGGATGATTTTATTTTCCTATGAAGTATGCCCATATTTTCTAACTTTTCTACAATAAATATATATTATTTCAAAAGAAACCATCAATACTATATTCTTAATCAATACTATATTCAATATTCTTAATCAATACTAATCTTAATCAATACTATATTCAAGTGTGGTATTGTCATATCAGTAACGAATTAGTCATCTAAGCTGCTAAAATGAGCCAGTGACTCCTCATTCTCGTCTGCCTCTTGGTGCAAATTAAGCTCCTAATGTCTTGTCAAGCTGGATAAATTTGGTTTAGAAAACAGGAGGAATTAAGCTGCCATGTTGAAAGACTTAGGAATTGTAGATATGTGGGGCTAGGCAGGTGGGAATAAATTCCAAACCCTTTGGAGTGGTGAGATCCCACAATTGATTTCATTTTGTGACCCATATAACTCTTGCATGCCATAAAGTCTATGTAAAATAATTAAAGCTAATTAGAATTAATTTTGGTTGGTGAGTGTTTGAAGAGCTTCATAATAACTCTAGAGGTAATTAGAGATGCTTTGGGATGTAGAAAAAGAAGTATTTGGGATAACTAGGTTAGATGTTTAAGCCAGAGATGTGCAATGGAGACTAGTAACAGAATGACAATTCTGTCATTACAGAAACACTGGGAGTTGAACTGAGAGTTGAAATCAATATGCTGGTAAACTAACTCTCTAAAACTCCCTCCCCCTGCAAACCCCCTTCCAAAACAAAAAACCAAGCGACCCACCAGCAACCTTGCTTTGTAGCATGGTGGATTTCAAGTTATCCATGCTTTGACAACTGGCTCACACCATTCCTCAATATTTAATAATCAGCTCTTGCTAGTCCCGTGCCAGGCAGCTAGAGTACACTAGTGTCATCCTCACTGAGCTTCTAGTTAGCTTTGTGATCTTAGGTAACTCATTTCCATTCTCTGGATCTTAGTTTTATCATAAAAAAAAAGTGAAGTTGCCAAAATAACTTCCAAGAGATCCTTTCCAAAGTTAACATTCCAATAAAGCAGCTGGTGTCATGATACAGGCCGAAAGAGTCACATCAGACTGTTATGAATGCTACTGTGATATGTCAGAATACAACATTTGATATCGATAATCACCCATGTTCTGGTTCCTGTGGGTACCTCTTCTGCAGTACTTCTTCCCAGGAGGATTAAAAACAACAGTGCAGCCATCAGTGAGCCAAGCATCATGACCCAGCAGTGAGATAAAAAGCCATTACTGAGAGTCAGAGAATTCTGCACTCAGTTGTTGGTTCTAGGAGTCAGCTTAGGGCCTGAGAGAGACTCTTGTAGTTTAGATGCATTGCACTACCTGTCCCATGAGTCCAGGAATGGTGGTTTTCCCTGGACCAGTAACCACCTGAGATGCTCATGTGCTTAAAGCTTTTTGAAGGCAAGGACTATGTCTTTTATACTTATGTGTGTCAAATCCCGGCTCATAATTGGAACTCAGTGAGCATTTGTTGAATGAAAGAATTAACCATTTGAGCTTTTTTAGAGCAAATTCTGAATTTTAAAATAATAATTCAAAAGTAGATATGCTCTTATTTGTGATTACCTTAATGTTGAAGAAATAAATATTTCAAATGCAAGAAATTTCTTTCTTGTTGTAACAGAAAACATTTTAGTGCCTTCATTTCAACACTGGGCATTTAACTCTGCCTTCCAGTTAGATAACAGAATTGATTACATGACCAGAGCCCAATGGAAACATGAAAAAGAAAGATCCATACAAAACCGAGGCAAACCAGCTATTTACTATTCACCATGAATACACCCCCACCCCACCACCTCAACCGCTGGAATTAGCTCATCTCTTTTGAAAGGAAACTATAACATGTATTTTTAGAGCACACTTATTTGTCTATCATGTGCTGCGTTACCAACATTTAACTCTCCTAAGCTATTGTTAGTTCCATTTTAGGGAAGAAGAAACTGAGACTGAGAGAGGGCAAGTGAGAGAGCCAGCCAGTGGTAGAACCATGAGTCAGCACCCTAGAATCAACACTCCAAAGACAGGTAGGTGCTCTTTTTGCCAGGCCAGGCTGCCTCAGGGCTTTGTGGGTTTCCTCTCCCTGGAATCTCTGTTCCGTGTTTGCTGTGGGGGGTTGGATGAATCCTCATGCCAGGGAACCTGGCTCAGTCCATGATCAGGCAAACAGAAGCCCTGGGCTCAGATGGCGTTTGCCCAGTCAGTGGGTCCCAGACCGAGGTAGCTGGACTGTACTTTGCCCTAATGAATCAGCTCCATGAAGGTTGGGTAACTGCAAAGGTGACTAAGTTGTTAGAGATCTGAGGGCCAGACAGGTCTTGGTGGATGTGGCACCTGGACTTTGACAGTCTCTAAGGGGAGAGGAGGCACTCTTGGGCCAGGTCCCAGAGCAGCGCTGCAGGAAGATGGGAGCTGTCCCAGCAGGTGCGTGGGGCTCCGGCTCCCCTCCTTCCCTCTCTGGGCTGTGTGTGTGTGGTGTGCTGTCAGGTCAGGAGAGGCAACACCACCCTTGCTGGGGCCAGGGAAACTTGTTTCTGGTATGCGTGAGTGTGATATGTCCTCGTAGATAGAGTTCCTTAATTTTGTGGCTCTCAGGTGCTTTTCATTCTGTGTCCTTGAACACAGCCTGAGGTCGAACTCACTGGAACTGATGTCTCTTGGCGACAAAATGACGTGAATTCAGTGAAAGGATTGGAAAGTGCGCCTCTGTGGTTGGGGAAGGCTGCCTGGTGAGAGGACCTGGGGATAAGGGAAGCAGTTTACTTCTTGCTGCACTTACTTGTGTTCAAGTGGGCTTAAGGCCCAGGGACCTTCGGGAAAGGTTCGTGTAGCCCTTCACTGGGCCCAGGGCACTTGGTCTCTCCTGGGGTTGGCTTTGCGGTAGAGGCTGTCACTGCACCTGGCTTTCTCAAGGGGGTGAGCTGACACGGGAGGGAGGAGTAAGTCTCTGAGCTGTGCGTGACTGTGAGGTGGAAGGCGCCTCTGCCCCTTGTTCTGCTGTCTTATAGCTCTTGGCTCACATCTGTGGACCCTGACTCCATGGTGTTTGAGCAGAATGACATCTGGGTTTCAACACCCACCCTTTGGACCTTTTGTTCTGACATGAATGTTTATATGAGGCTGGGAGCTTCTGGAGTGGGAGCAAATTAACTGAATTGATCATAATCTTGTGACCTAAAACAGTTCCCAAGAGAAAAAAGAAAGCCGGAGTTGACCTAGCCTGTGGATGCTCCCGAGGGTCCCCAGGCGGGAGTGAAGTCTGAGATGCGCTTGCCCTCCACAGTGACCCCCCTGTGACATGGGCAGAGGGATTCAAAAGGTCACCAGTCTCTGAAACGATTTTCCATTTTGAGGAATAAATAGGGATGAGTATGATGCTGGGAGACTTCGAGGTTTTAAAGTCTCCAGCCAGGAAGACTCCTGACACACAGCTCTCTATTTTCTCGTGTAAGCATCCCAAACTTGCCTCTCATTGGCTACCCTGGAGGAGGGGACAGCATGGCTGCAGAATAAGGGTTGTTTCTTCCAGGTGGTTAACGTAAGGGCTCAGAAAGGTGTCTCTTGAAGAGGTCAATTTAAACTTCCTTTTGCTTAGGAAATGTCTTCAGTCACTCACACTACCCTAACCTTTAAATCTGATAATATTAACTACTAATTATTGAGCAATTACTGAATATCAGGCAGAGTTATTTCTGATTCTGATGATAACCCTGCATAGTAGTTATTGTGGTCATTTTATGGGTAAGGACTTGAAGATACTAACTAGCTAGTAAGTGGCAGAGTTAAGGTTTGAACTCTGATCTAGCTCTCTCCAAGGCCCACGCTATTTCTAGGATACCACAGGGCCTCCCTGGTAAGTGTTAGATAAATATTTGCTGGAGGATATAAGAGGAAACATTAATTGGGATTCCTTGGTAGCATTTTTAGCAGCACCTATTATTGCTATCTGTCTCCCATGCCTCCCCCATCTGTTGTTGTTCCAAATGTACTTTTTAAGTTTTTAAGCAGCATTAATATAATTGTCTAGCCTGTTATTTAGTTCATGTATATGCTTGAGGTTTTTTTTTCTTCAGATTTCTCTGAATCTGTGCCCATATGGTTTGTTTCAGATAGATTTCAAAGGTCATAGCTGCTCTTTTCACAAAACCTAATCAACTACCACGTTGACAGCTCAAAATGATGATTTTTTTCCCTTTTGTTTTGTTTGCAGGAATATAAAATAACGACACAACTGACTGAAAACTCAAGAGAAACTTGGAGGGTCAGGGATGGAACTTTGGGTGCCCCAGAGGCCACCCCAGCCCCGGGGAAAGCCCTCAGCTCCGTCAAAGGATCCAAACCGAGGACCTTGGAGAGATGGCCATCATCGGCCTGTTCCTCTCTCTCGGCACAGTGGAGAGAGGTTTCCTCGGTGGGAAGAAGGAGTCCCCAGTGGGAGCCCCCAGCCACAGCAGGACTCCAGGGTGGACCAACAGCAGCCCCATTATGCAACCAGGCCTGGGGAATGGCATCAGCCTGTGTCCGGGTTCAACTATTACGAAAGTGGCTATCTAAGTCAGTTGTATTCAAGGTATGGCTTTAGCCCTTGGGAGGAACCCAGCTCCCCTAAACATGTGTGGACAGAGTGTTCTTTTCCTTCTTCCTTTTCCTTTTATTTATCCTCTTTTTTCTTGTTCTTTTTTCTCCTCTACCCTACATGGCCTTAGCTAAATCCTATACTCTTCCTAAATGGTTTTTGGTGCCCGAAGATAGTATTTACCGCCTCTTTATCCTCAGTGGAACTTCTTAAAAATCCATCACAATGTGATTGGGTATTAGGATAGGGGGTAGAAAAAGTGGTGAAATTCAAGAGGCAGATGGGACCTTCTTGTGCTGAGATTGCAAAAGGCAATGTATGTAGACTATGGAAGGGTTTTTCCAGGGCTCTCTATAGGAAGTTCCTCATTGTCATTGGACCACTCTGACCTGGCATTTGAATGACTCCACTAGCACCAAGAAGATCCCTAGTGTCTAGGACAGTACCTGGAGTGCAATAGGCATACACAAAAATCAGTATAGAATGAATGGGAGTTGGTAGAAAATCGACCTTAGAGACAGTAGATATAAACTTGCAGGCTCCAAGTTCAAAAGGAAGTGGTGACGGTGAGGTAGTTCTAGGTTGTAGAATTCCTGCTCCCTTAAGGTCTAACTGATAGCACTGGACTTACTATTTCTAAGTAAGTCCAGTGGAATATTCTAAGCCATCCAGTTAGGATGATATTTACTGGCCTACAGATTTTGGGGTTGAAATTATGAAAATACTTGTAAAGAATTTTGCCCTTGTGAAAAACTGAAGAGTTATCGATTGATTAAAAACTGTAACAACATGATGTTCCTTTCCCCAATCTTTTTGGCTTGTTGAGTTCTCAAAGGGAGATTTGTTAGGGACAGAGTCTATAAAAGTAATCAGATTTAAGACTTTTGACTTTTTAATCTCATCTCCATCTATAACATGCACAGGAATTACAATGGCATATTGGGGACTTAGAGTTGTCTCAGGAAGTGGTTTTCTCAGGTAGTATCAAGACAGTTTTCTAAGATGACATCTCTTTGTATTGTCAGATGTATGTATTTGGGGAGTAAGAGTTTACCGTGAAAATAAGAGTTTTAAATAAAAAAGTTTTTTTTCAAAGTTTTAAATTTAAAAAACTTTACTATAGAAAGTCTAGCCTTGTGATGTTACAAAGGCCCTAGTCCTGCTCTGATTCTGAATTTTCTGTTTACAGGCTCTAGAATTAAAGAAGATTCTAGACTGGGGGCACAGTCTGTCCCCTGAAGTGGTTTAGCTTGCTGAGTCCTCTGGTTTTTCCCCTTACCACGCCCATCCCTGACTGACTGGCCTTCTTTGCAATATTCTAGGCCAGGCTATGAGCACCCGTATCAGAGCTCCTCTCCAGCATGGAGGGAGGAATATGCTTATGGAAGTCATCACTATCATGGTCACCCACAGTGGCTGCAGGAGGAAAGAGGTATGGAAGCATCTCTGAGGAACCTTTGGGGTTCAGGGATGGTGATGCTGGCAGTACAGGTGGGTAGAGACAAAAGGAGCCGTGTTCAGAGAGCTCACCTTGGGCATCCTTTCTTGGTAAGATGAGACACAGCAGAGATGCCTCTTCTAGATGTCTTGAGGAGAAAAGGAGGAGTAGTTTTCCTCCCTATGTGAAACAATCATCGGTATACTAGTGCTGTGTGCTGTTTGCACTTGGTCCACGATTCCTCCTACTCCTTCTTATAGCCAAAATCATGGTCTCTGAGCAAGCAGCAGTGAAGTCAGTTTCTAAGGGCTGTGACTGTATGCTGGGCTGTCATAGGAGTCTGACCATCCTGTCTTCTGAGGGCGACAGACATGCCCAGCTAGAAGCTGCGTGCCCTGTACTAAGAGGTAGAGGATGTGTGTGTTAATGGCGACTTGTGGCCTGTTAGCAAAGAAAAATCTGTTTCAACGTTAAATACATACCCACACTCTTTCCCCTGCCACACACACACTCTGACCTCCACCACTCTATAATTGTATAGCACCCTGCTAATTGACTTAGAGAGGACCGAGGGGCAGCTTACAGACATTCCTAGCTTTTGCCTATCACTTTAATTCAACTTAACAAGTATGTTTTTAGACCTACTGTGCTCTGGGAACTCAGCCTCACAACTCGCTATTGCCTTCTGAAGAACTTCCAGAAACAGGATGAATGACCTGTCTATTTTGTTTTCTCTGAGGGTGCAGTGCCGAGGCAAGGGAGTCCTTATATCTGGCATGAAGATTACCGAGATCAAAAGTACTTCCATGAGCATCATCATGAAAACCAGAATAGTCCATTTGGAACAAACAGTGAGAGTCAGTTCCAGTAAGTGTGAAAGGACAGGCCAGTTTGGCATAATTTGAACTCAGACTTGTCAGGCAAATCTTGTGGCGTCCAATGCAGGTCCCTCACCTCCTAAAGCCCATCTGTCTTTGTTCCAGTCCCAGGAGATGGGAGTGGTCCAGATTAGGCCTGGCCCTTGGAGGAGAACTTCTTATCTCTGAGAAGCTTTTCCCAAACCTGTGCTAGTCTGAGTCCTGTGAGTTACTTGAGGTCTGTCCCAAAGGAGGGGCCTACCTTCTATGTTTTGGCCTCAGGACAGATGTGGCTTAGCGAAAGCTCTCGGGATTGGATCTGATCTGGGGCTGGGATGCTTTCCCTCAGCCTACTCCTGGGCTCCGAGAACTGGACATCCCCTTGGGATAAGGCAGAGCAGGGAAGAGGCTTTTGCCCAAGCATCTGTCCTGGTGCCCTCGGCTCTGGTGTTCACCAACCCACATGCTTTGATTTAAACCATTCTAGAATGTCAGGCTGCAGAGGGTCAGAGGCCGCTTCCAGTAACTGCCCTGTGAAACGCAGGCACTCCTGTTTGTCTGGGATTAGTAGGGTGAGGTGAGGGGCTAGGAAACGTTTCTCCCTGGGGTATCTGGGCCAGGCTGGCACCTACCCACTCTCTGGAGCAGGACAGCTTCTGGCAGAGAGCGCCTCGGCCTCGCTGACGTGTTCAGGATCCGGCTCACCACTCCTGTCACTTTGCTGCAGATCCAGCAGTTGGCACCTTTATAAAGACAACCCTGCTTCCAACTCTGGACAGGAGAGGCCTGAGGAGACGTTCTCAGAGAGTCTGCCTACTGGGGCCCACAATAATAAGGTAACTTGAAGTGACGTGGGGGCTGGAGGCCATGGGCATGCATCGCTGTCGACACTGTGAGCGGTGGCAGGGTAGGGCCGTTGGGGAGGGACCTCCAGTGGTCAACTGTCTGTGGGCCTATTCCTTTCTCTTGTCAGAACCTCCACACAAGCCTCCTCCTTCCCCTGCCTTCCTGCTTCAGTTGCATGTATGAATCTGAGACTTGGATCAGGCTATTCTGTATTTTTGGCAAATTGACTGGATCAGGAAATGTCACCCAAGTCACTCCAAGGTGCTGGAAAGAGGAAAGGCTTCCACCAGGTGTTAAGTGTTTTTGACCCCAGGAGACTAGCAATTTGGTTCACTCAGGAAGTGGAAAGTTGCCAGACTCTTTTAATTCAGAATTGAGAAGCAGGGCTTGAAACCTTTTCTAACTCTTTGTCTCTCTCTAAAATCTTACTGTGTGTACCAGCTGGGCCACAAAAAGGAGCTCCTTTTTAAAATAAACTTTTTATTTTAGAATAATTTTGGATTTAAGGAAAATTTGCAAAGAGTCTACAGAGATGACTCCTTTTTTTTTTTTTTGAGTTGGAGTCTCACTCTGTCACCCAGACTGGAGTGCAGTGGCCACTCCCGGCCACTGCAGCCTCAACCTACTGGGCTCCAGCGATCCTTCTGCCTCAGCCTTCCAAGTAACTGGAACTACAGGTGCGCGCTACCACGCCTGACTAATTTTTGATTTATTGTGGAGATGAGGTCTCGTCAAGTTGCCCAGGCAGGTCTCGAACCCGCTGGCTCAGGCCATCCACTCACCTCAGCCTCCCAAAGCGCGTGATTACAGGCTGAGCCATTGAGCCTGGCTGGCCTTTTTTCTTAAAGCCATTGTCACTTGCACATCTGTCACCTGTCTGTCTTTAGGGTCTCCAGTGTGGAATAGGGCAAACACACTGGACACACTATGAGCTGGCCTGCTTGGTAGTCACTGAGATGAATCACTTTGTCTAAGTCATTATTTTATTTTATTTTATTTTATTTTTTTGAGTTGGAGTCTCACTCTGTCACCCAGACTGGAGTGCAGTGGCCACTCCCGGCCACTGCAGCCTCAACCTACTGGGCTCCAGCGATCCTTCTGCCTCAGCCTTCCAAGTAACTGGAACTACAGGTGCGCGCTACCACGCCTGACTAATTTTTGATTTATTGTGGAGATGAGGTCTCGTCAAGTTGCCCAGGCAGGTCTCGAACCCGCTGGCTCAGGCCATCCACTCACCTCAGCCTCCCAAAGCGCGTGATTACAGGCTGAGCCATTGAGCCTGGCTGGCCTTTTTTCTTAAAGCCATTGTCACTTGCACATCTGTCACCTGTCTGTCTTTAGGGTCTCCAGTGTGGAATAGGGCAAACACACTGGACACACTATGAGCTGGCCTGCTTGGTAGTCACTGAGATGAATCACTTTGTCTAAGTCATTATTTTATTTTATTTTATTTTATTTTTTTGAGTTGGAGTCTCACTCTGTCACCCAGACTGGAGTGCAGTGGCCACTCCCGGCCACTGCAGCCTCAACCTACTGGGCTCCAGCGATCCTTCTGCCTCAGCCTTCCAAGTAACTGGAACTACAGGTGCGCGCTACCACGCCTGACTAATTTTTGATTTATTGTGGAGATGAGGTCTCGTCAAGTTGCCCAGGCAGGTCTCGAACCCGCTGGCTCAGGCCATCCACTCACCTCAGCCTCCCAAAGCGCGTGATTACAGGCTGAGCCATTGAGCCTGGCTGGCCTTTTTTCTTAAAGCCATTGTCACTTGCACATCTGTCACCTGTCTGTCTTTAGGGTCTCCAGTGTGGAATAGGGCAAACACACTGGACACACTATGAGCTGGCCTGCTTGGTAGTCACTGAGATGAATCACTTTGTCTAAGTCATTATTTTATTTTATTTTATTTTATTTTTTTGAGTTGGAGTCTCACTCTGTCACCCAGACTGGAGTGCAGTGGCCACTCCCGGCCACTGCAGCCTCAACCTACTGGGCTCCAGCGATCCTTCTGCCTCAGCCTTCCAAGTAACTGGAACTACAGGTGCGCGCTACCACGCCTGACTAATTTTTGATTTATTGTGGAGATGAGGTCTCGTCAAGTTGCCCAGGCAGGTCTCGAACCCGCTGGCTCAGGCCATCCACTCACCTCAGCCTCCCAAAGCGCGTGATTACAGGCTGTGCCACCGAGCCCGGCTCAGAGATGACTCTTAATTTTGGCCAGTCTTGTATTAATTTTGTCTCCCTAATTAGATTTGTAGGACTTTTGAGGACTGTTTCTTCTATATACATAGAGTTTAAAAAGGCAGGGTGTGTACTATTACAGCTAATGGTAGCAACACAGTGATAGCAGGCACACACATGTGCATAGCATGTTACAGTGCACAAAGAGCTTTTGAATCAATTGTTTAAACTCATATGCTTCCAGAATGTAAGTTCTAGGAATTTCTTGTACACCTGTATCCAAAGGGGAAGCACAGCACCTGGAACATAATAGGTGCTCACTAAATAGTTGGTGGGTGAATATATGAGGAAGCATTTGCGATATCCAGGGAAGATATATCATTAGTGTCACAGATGAAGGCATTTATCTCAGAAAGCCCAAGTCACTGGTCTAAGGTCGCGATGGCTGGCTATTGCCTAAAGTTGAGGTTTGAACTCAAGGCCCCCGACCCAGGGCCTGCACCCTTCCCACTGGGCCACCATACATCCTTTGGCAAACACCTGTCATGGAATGATCCCCTCTTCGCCTTTCAACACACCCACCGTCACTGTATGCATTGGAAAGTTTGGATTTTGTTTCTTTGAAAGAACACTTGAGAAGACCAGTTCTCGGAAACTTCTTCCCATGTATTTTTGTTGTCTTTAACTCTCAGCCATCGCTGACCAGTGAGTCCAACCTCCTCCGACAGCACGAGTCCGGCCTCAGCTCCAGCGGTTACGAGCTCAGCCAGTACATGGCGAATGTCCCTGAGCAATATGATCCCGTGGCTTCAGTGGCTTGGAGTCCACTTCAGGCTGGTGGGTGCTGATGTGATCACAGGAGTGGGTGGAGGCTGACGAGGAAAGGCTGGGTGGCAGGTCTCTGGGAACGTCACCCTTCCCTGTACTTCCAGGGACAGATCATTCTCCGCCCCATTTGCTTAGGTAGGCCTCCTGGATGGAGAGACTTGGCCTCCACTGCCATCTTTTTACTTGTAGTGACGATTGCATCATGGCTGATTCTCAGAAGAGAACACTGCCCTTAGCCACTGTCAGGCTGGGTGAGGGGACACTCAGTGGTGCTTTTAAGTAGTAAGTGAAGCGAGTGAAAACCAGAGAGAATGAGAAAAAGCAAAAGCAGGACCCAGAGCCCAGTTGCTTTGCCTGGATACAGGAGGCTGTCATGAGTATAGAGACTTCGAAAGCCAGAGGCCTGTTGACCTCTTGCCATCATTGAGAGTCTGGGCTGGGGCATTATCATTTGAACTGAATCATCAAATCCATGCATGATATTCTGGCACATTCTCAGAGGCTTAAATCTGACTGGAGCATGGAACATGGACTTCTTCTAATTATGAAGCCCACTCAGAATCTTATTTTGGTACAGGCAGAATTTGGACAGAAATATATCTGTGGCATATTTCTAAACTAAAGAAAAGTAATGGAATTATTGCTAATAATGTCCATTTGTATCTGTTGGACAGAGGATGTCTCCACAGCTGGTTCCAAAGCACTTGTGAAGTTCTACAACCCTCACGTACCTGTGAGTTTTGGGCCAGGAGGTCAGCTGGTGTGTGTGGTGCCCAGTTCCCCCATGGATGGGCAGACAGCTCTTGTGGAACTGCACAGCATGGAGGTAAACGAGATCCTGTGTCCCTGGATTGGTGGCACACTGCTCACTCAGCTACTCTTTTTTTTTTGAATCAGAGTCTCATTCTGTCGCTTAGGCTGGAGTGCAGTGGCACGCTCATGGCTACCGCAGCCTCAACCTGCTGGGCTCAGGTGATCCTTCCAACTTAGTCTCCTGAGTAGTTGGGACTACAGGTGTGCACCACCACATCTGGCTAATTTGTTGATTTTTTTTTTGTAGAGATGAGGTCTGACTATGTTGCCAGGTTGGTCTCAAACTCCTGGGCTCAGGTGATCCTTCCACCTTAGCCTTCCAGGTAGTGGAACCATAGGTGCAGGCCACCACACCCAGCTAATTTTTTGGTTTATTGTAGAGATAAGGGCTCTTCAAGTTGCCCAGGCTGGTCTCAAACCCATGGGCTCAGGCAATCCTCTCACCTCCGCCTCCCAAAGTGCTGGGATTATAGGCGTGAGCCACTGCGCCTGGCCAATTGCTCTTAACATACTTATCCTGCTTCCCTGTTCCCGAACCTGGGCATCTTCAGGAAGCTGGGTCAGGTACCCCTTAGATTATAGGGTGCAGGAATGGGCCGGGCTCTTTGAAAGAAGTGATGCTAGAGTTTTGTCTCCCTGAGATGCTAGTGGCTCAGCTTCAGCACAAGATATTTCACTTTTGTTCCTTTGTTTTTTTTCTACAAGGCATGGAGCCACAGCCTGGACTATAGCCCCGAGGTCTGACTCTGGACTTCACTGAAGGGGGCATTGGGTGGATACAGTTTTGAAGACAAAAATTTGATTTTTTTGTTTCAGGTTTTTCTTAATGATTCTGAAGAACAGGAAGAGATGAGAAGTTTCTCAGGACCCCTGATTAGGTAAATTACTGTAAGAGCTGCCAAGCAAGGGCTTTTGAAATCTAGAAAACTTTCCTGCCCAGATCAGCGTTTTGGGGCTCTGTTCTTGGTTTCTTTGGAAGAAAATGCCTATCCCCATGGAAGTAGAATTCTCTGTGCTACAAAATAGAGCCAAATGTGGCCTGAGCCATTTTGACAAGCCACTTAACAGTTGAGAAACAGAAAGAAAAATTAGCTTAACAGTTTAGAAATCTAAAATCAGTTCCATTTTGCAGAAGTTACATGGTAGGAAGTTTTAATGTTCTGTGTACTCGATAGATATGAGTAGAAAAGTGGAGCACAGCCTGGGAAATCATAGACAAGTGGATCACAGTGGAAATAAATTCTTGCAACAGTGGCTTTTTTCTGGAGAGAGAAATAACATCCCTCAGCAGTGTTGGAGTTACTGGACTGTGTGCAAGTCTGCCCTCTGCAGGACTGAACTGGGAACTGATTTTAAATGCCTAGTCGTATTTCTGATCCACATTCAGAAAACCTTTGCTGAGGAGACAGTTGGGTGACAGAGGAACTGTGTCCCAGGCCCAGGCGTCTTCCTGACTAGTGGTACCATGGTGGACTGGTTAGTTATCCTCTCCAAGCCTTGCCGGAGACCTGCTCCAGTCGGGTTCAGGGTACCCCAAAGGTGGAGATGACGTCAGCGATTGGGGGGAAGAAGAGAGAAAGAAAGAGAGAGAGAGAGAAAGAAAGAGACTGGACCCCAGTCTAGTGCAGAAGCCGTTTAATGGGAATTACAACTGGTCTTTTATACACAGTCGGGTGTGTGAGGGGCATTCCCCACCCACCAGATGTTCTTTCAGGTATAATCCCATAACCTAATTGATGAAACCTTAATCCATTGATTCAACTTCAGTAAATCCTAAGATCATGACCCAGAAGCCTGTGACCAATACTAAGGCTCTTAGATGTGACCCGAGTTTGAATTATAAGTTGTGTGAAAGCCAAAACTGCAATTTGTGGAAGAATGGGAGCAATGAGCTTCTAAAGTTAGCTTGTGTTCGTCCCAGTCTCAGAGTTTGTATGTTTTGAGTTCACAGGAGCTTAATCTGGTTAGTGCTGAGTAGAAAGGGAGAGGAAATGAGGTCAATAGCTCCCGAACGCATCCTAGTGGTCTCGGGGTCAACGGCCCTTCCTGATCCCTAACGTTGAGTGGGCCTCCGTGGCTGGCTCCCAACATCTCTCCCTTTTTTATTTTTTAGCACGAAACCATGAAACTCCATATTGCTCTTCTTTAGCACTCTGAAGATGATTGGGAGTAAACACAGCAACAAAAGAATCACTGCTCCACAAATTCCCACATTGATGAGTATAGACATTAATGATTTTTGATTAGCAAATGATGCCTGAATTTCTTGATGTAATTTAGTAAGGTCTATACTCAGGTCTGAATGGTTCCAAATTCCAAGTTACTTTGTCCCAAGTATGGACAGATTTAAACTCAGAGTGACATTGGAGAGCCAATTTTATTTTTAAGGTCACAAGTTCTTGCCCTACTGCTAAAACATTAACCTTACTTTCTAACTTCTGGTCTATGATTTCCTGAATAGCTATGGCAATAGAAATGTTTTTAGATAGCCGATCAGCAAACATAACTGTATGAACTTCCTTAGGTAATGCTACAGCTGAAAAGTAGCTATTAAGGCTGTAACTCCAAAAATCTTTTCCGACAGTGTTTTTAAACCATATTCACAGGAGGCTGTCTGAGAATAACAAATCCCTTATAAGAAACATCAGTTAAACAATTAGTTAATACACTTGTTTACAAGACAAATTATAAACATCATTTTGATGTTTTATGGTCAATGTTAACACTGGAGGTACCCATTCATTAATATGCCATCTAGCAGAGATGGGATTTTCCCCATCTAACCTTGAAGTATAAGGTCAAGTTTTACACAAGGTAAAAAATAGTCCACTTTAGAGTCATAAATACAGTGTCTCCATATTGGATATCTAGAATCTCATGAAATGATCAGCCAGTCCTTCTCAGTGTTGTTAGAAACAAATGGGAGGTGAACAAGAGCTTCCTTCATAAGTCCTTTGTCCGAGCCACCTGCTTGAGAAGAGACATGTGGGTGGAAAAAAAGGGGGGTGAGAAGTCTGGAGGCTGGGGTTAGGTGCCGTGGCCTTCGGCACCTGCCCCTTCTCCGAAGGTAAAAGAGAGAGACTGGAGGCTGGGGACAGGTGCCGTGGCCTTTGGCACCTGCCCCTTCTCCGAAGGTTAAAGAGAAAGACTGAAAGTCAGAGATAGGCGCCACGGCCATAGACGCCTGCCCTTCCTTCCCAGATAAAGGCAAAGGGACTCACAGAACAGATTACAAAAAACAAGAGTAGTAGGGAAAGCAGGAATTGGAGTTATAGGAGGAATAGGAGAGGACAAAGGAAGTGAAAACCCTTATTTTGTTTACGTTTTTAGCATGTTGTGAAGTTACCATATCTCCTGCTTCTTCTGCCAGAAACACTATTTGCTCCCATGCTGGTAATTGGGAACGACGGACGCTGAAGATGTTGTTATAGTTTTTAGAGAGCATCTGATAGTGTGTTGTCTTGATTTTGGGATAATCTGAGAGGGAAGTTTTTGTTCTGCAATGAAAGTTCTCTCATCTGGTGTGTCAGTGTTCCTCCTTCCTTTGGCTGGCAGGGTGGATGGTGCAATTCTTGTTTAGCCGAGTGTTGCAAATCCTGTTCAGCATGTAATGGTTGGTAGGCATTGCTCCACGTCTATTCCTTTGAGTCTACAGGGTCCATGCCACCCGTCTCAGTCTTCAGTTTAGCGGGGGCATTTTGAATAAATTGATCAGGAATCCAAACAAGAATCGGCAGGAATAGCAACCGGAGATGGCAGCCTGGGCTGCAATGCACCCATAGCCTCCATGGTGGCATTAATGGCTCTTAGATCCTGTAAAAGTCTTGAGGTCCCACGTTCAGGTGCCACTTGCTGGAGACCTGCTCCAGCCGGGTTCAGGGTACCCCAAAGGTGGAGACAGTGTTGGCGATTGGGGGGAAGAAGAAAGAGAGAAAGAGAGAGAGAGAGAGAGAGAAAGAAAGAGACTGGACCCCAGTCTAGTGCAGAAGCCATTTAATGGGAATTACAACTGGTCTTTTATACACAGGTGTGTGAGGGGCGTTCCCCACCCACCGGATGTTCTTTCAGGTATAATCCCATAACCTAATTGATGAAACCTTAATCTATTTATTCAACTTCAGTAAATCCTAAGATCATGACCCAGAAACCTGTGACCAATACTAAGGCTCTTAGATGTGACCCAAGTTTGAATTATAAGTTGTGTGAAAGCCAAAACTGCAATTTGTGGAAGAATGGGAGCAATGAGCTTCTGAAGTTAGCTTGTGTTTGTCCCGATCTCAGAGTTTGTATGTTTTGAGCTCACAGGAGCTTAATCTGGTTAGTGCTGAGTAGAAAGGGGGAGGAAATGGGGTCAATAGCTCCCGAACGCATCCTAGTGGTCTCGGGGTCAACGGCCCTTCCTGATCCCTAATGCTCAGTGGGCCTCTGTGACTGGCTCCCAACAAAGCCTGAATTTTCCACCTGGGAAGTGGTGAACACCTGCTGTCCCTACCCCGGCCTTGGTTGTGCATCTCAAGTGAGATTATGCACGTGGACGCCCTTTAAATACCGTCACTACTGTATAAATGTGTTCTTATCCTGAAGCCCCCTTCCAAGACAGTCCCCATCTGGAATTTGAAAGCTCCTTCAAGTAAAAATGGGTATTGTCTTTAATTCTTACATAGGTACAGAGATGAGAGGGTAGAGAACTGAGTTGGGTATTCAGACACTGAGGTACATTGGATAATCTTTATCAAATACTAATGTCCTTTTATTGAGCACTTAATACAGGCTGCACAATGTGCTAATTCCTTTTTGTATGGAGGTAAGTTTTTTTAATCTCCCTATTTTGGAAGAAAAGGCTGAGGCTCAGAGGAGATAAGAAAGTTGTCTTTACCAAAAGGCAGACCCAGATTTAGACTCAGATTTCAAAGTCCTTTTTACCTGGCATCCTGTGCAGTCACTTAGGTCTCTGAGGCTCAGTTTCCTCATCTGTAAAATGGAGTGGGTATATGAGAGAATCTCTGAAATCCCTTCTGATTCTGCACATGGAAACAGCTATCCTGTAGCTGCATACTCATTACCTGGGCCCTGGGTTGTCAGGGTTGTGTCTCAGCCCCACCCAGTCAACTGTGCCCACTGTGGGAGGTGCCTGGGTCCTGAGCTGGGGAAGCACCTGCTTGCTCACTCTGTGCTCCCTGAAATTTTTCCACAGGGAGGATGTGCACAAGATGGATATCATGACGTTTTGCCAGCAGAAAGCAGCTCAGAGCCGCAAGTCTGAGTCACCAAGGAGCAGAGACTTGGCTCTGCTGTGGCAACTGTTGGTTCTCCTTTGTCGCCAGAATGGGGTAAGTTACTGCTCTGATGGGAGAGCAGGTGCAGGCCACACTGATTTTTTTTTTTTTTTGAGTCAAGGTCTTACTTTGTCACTCATGCTGGAGTGCAGTGGCATAATCATGGCTCTTTGCAGCCTCGACCTCCTGGGTTCAGGTAATCCTTCCACCTTAGCCTCCTACAACTGGGACCACCAGTGTGCATGATACAACACCCAGCTAATTTTTTGAATTTTTGTAGAGGCAAGGTCTTGCCGTATTGCCCAGGCTGGTCTCAAACTCCTGGGCTCAAGCAGTCCTCCTGCCTTGTCCTCTCAAAGTGCTGGGATTACAGGTGTGAGCCACCATACCTGGCCAAACTGAAATTTAAGTCTTTGTGGGATTGATAAGATTCAGTTTATGGCATGATTATGAAAAGCAATATTAAATAATCAATGAGGTACCCCGAGGGGGAAAAATTGTTCTAATGTCAACACCAGCTGCTAGCTCAATCCTTTCCCCTAATGGTTTCTTCCCTGGCCTGGGATTATTGGACAGTTCCTGGGTTATCACACCAGCCAGATAATATGCCTGTGAAACTGAATGTTCCTGTTGAGATTTGTGGCTCCTGGTAAGATCTGTGGCAGAAAATAACCACTATATAGTACATACCTATAGTCCTAGTTACTCGGGAGGCTGAGGTGGAAGGATCGCCTGAACCTAGGAGATCGAGACTGTGGTGAGCAGTGATGGTGCCACTGCATTCCAGCTTGGGCAACAGAGTGAGACTCCAAAACAAAAACAAAATGAAACAAAACAAAAAGCAAAAAAAAAACCACCATAGTAAAGCTGAAGTTTGAAGATAGCAATCCAAGAAAGGACTGCCTTGTGTTTGCCTGACTGGCTTCCTCATGTAGAGGGCAGAGCCTTGGTGCCTGCAGTCTCCAGGTGAGGCTGCCAGTGTGAGGACTAGTGGGATTCTTCCCCAAGACAACCCTCCTTGCCTTACAGTCCATGGTGGGGTCTGACATCGCCGAGCTGCTGATGCAAGACTGCAGGAAGCTGGAGAAGTACAAGAGGCAGCCCCCAGTGGCCAACCTCATCAACCTGACGGATGAGGACTGGCCTGTGCTGAGCTCCGGGACCCCCAACCTGCTCACTGGGGAGATCCCCCCCAGCGTGGAGACGCCTGCACAGATTGTGGAGAAATTCACTAAACTGCTCTACTATGGAAGGAAGAAGGCAAGTATGCCCCTTCTCCATATTTGTTTTTAAGAAGTAGGCTCTATCACTCTCCACCACTCACCCCTCCTCTAATGATCTGAATAATATACACTCATTTTACGGAGCACATGAGAAGCTCAGAAAGGTACAGAGAAAAAAATAAAAACTCTCACAGTCCTATCGTTAAAAGAGAACACCTGTTAACATTTTGGCAGATTTACTTCCAGCATTTTTCCATGCATATATTATAAAAAGAAAAGAAAATTACATGTACAACTGTTTATTTCTTAAACTTAAGATTACCCGGTGAAATATCCCCATGACATTAAATGTGCTCTAATAGCACCATTAACAAAAGATTACCCGTTATTCCTTATTTGATATGAATACATATGCTTTATTTAACCATTCCACTATTATTGAATATATGACTATTACAAGTTTCCCACTATTATTGAATATAGAGACTACCTACATTTTTGTCAACTATTATTCATTATGCCATTCACACATCTTGTTTCATAAGTCTTTGACTGATCTCTTGTTTTATTTTTAAGGGCTATATCTCTAAAAGTGAAATTACTGGGTACGTAAAAGGTATGCACTTTTTTCTGAGTTGGAGTCTTACTCTGTCGCCCAGGCTGGGGTGCAGTGGCACGTTCACGGCCACCCAGCGTCGACCTGCTGGGCTCTGGAGATCCTTCTGTCTCAGCCTTCCAAGTAGTCAGAACTACAGATGCATGCTACCAAGCCTGGTTAATTTTTTTATTTATTGTAAAGATGAGGTCTCACCAAGTTGCCCAGGCTGGTCTCGAGCCCACAGGCTCAGGCAATCCGCTCACCTCGGCCTCCCAAAGTGCTGGGATTACAGGCTGAGCCACTGAGCCTGGCTAGGTATGCACTTTTAAAGGTTCTTCACAGATACACTGAATTGATTTCTAGAAAGTTTGTTTACAAATGATGCTCCTGTTGCTGTAGCTAGGGTTTGCCTACTAGTATTGAATACAGATGCTCCTCGACTTATGATGGGCTTACATTCTGATAAACCCACTGTTAGATAGTAAATATCATAAGTCAAAAACGTACCTAATGCACCTAATCTCCTGAACAGCATAGCGTAGCCTCATCTCCCTAAATGTGCTCAGTACACCTGCCTTGACTTGCAGTTGAGCAAAATCATCAAAAACAAAGCCTATTTTGTAATCAGATGTTGAATAGCTCCTGTAATGTATGGACTACCATACTGAAAGTGAGAAGCAGAATGCTCGTGTGGGTACTGGAGGTGTGGTTGCTGCTGAATGTGGGTCACTTTCACACCATCGCTAAGTCGTAAGTCAGGGACTGTATTTTAAGCAGTCCCTGTATTTTAATGGTGTCTAGCTTAATTCTGAAGTTGAGATTACACTTTACAAAATGCATAAAGAGTCAAGTATTTGAATATAGGATTAAAATCAGTTTCAATCCATTTCACTCAAAAATTAAAAAGTATAAAAGATATAATGGGGAAGGAATACCCTCATGTCCCAGTCACCCAGTTTCTCTTTCTGAACTATCTAGAGATATGTTATGGTTTTACAGTTATTTCCCCCTTTTTTCCTTATAGTATACTCTACACCATTTCTGTATCTTCCTTTTTTCATTTGACAAAATATCTTAGAAAACATTCTCTATAAAGGTTAACAAGCTTTTTCTATAAAAGGACAGATGGAAAATATTTCATGCTTTATGGGCACAAGGTCTCTGTCTCAACTACTCAACTCTGCCCTTGTGGTGTGAAAGCAACCGCAGACAGTTCAGAAATGAGTGGGTGTGGCTGCATTTAAGTAAGATTCGTTTATGGACATAGAAATTTCAATTACATGTATTTTCATGTACAATGAATATTATGTTTTTGACTGGCTGCGGTGACTCATGCCTGTGGTCCCGGCTCTTTGGGATGCCGAGGCAGGAGGATTGCTTGAGCCTGGGAGTTAGAGATCAACCTGGGCAACTCAGTGAGATCCCATCTCTACAAAAATAAAAAAAATTAAAATAAGATTTTTTCTTTTAATTTTTTTCTAATCACTTAAAAAGGTAAAAACTATTCTTAGCCCATAGGCTGGACCAAAATAGGCAGTGTACTGGATTTGACTTTCAGGCCATATTGTGCTGACCTCTGTTCTATATCCTGCGTAATTACCTTCCTCATTCTTTCTCACATTGGCACAGTTTTGTATAGGTAAATTGTAATTAATGTAACTAAACCTCTAAAGGTTGGCATTAAGATTATTTCCAATCTTTTGCTATTACCAACAATGCTGCAATGAATGGTTACTGTCACTTTGCTCAGTGTGAGAAAATATATGTAAGAGAAATTTCTAGAAGTGGAAGTGTTGGATCAAAGAACATATGGTTTGTAGCTTTGATAGATATTGACAAATTGCCCTTATAGAGGTCATAGCAATTCACTCTACCAGCAATGTACTAGAGTGCCTTTTTCTCTACATTCTCACTGCAGTGTATTTTCAAATGTTTTGGTAGGACTGATCTGAGAAGTGAAAAGAATGTAATTTAATGTGTGTATGTGTTTTTTGTGGTTTTTTTTTTTTTTGAGTTGGAGTCTCACTCTGTTGCCCAGGCTGGAGTACAGTGGCATACTCATGGCCACTGTACCCTCTACCTGCTGGGCTCAGGCGATCCTTCTGCTTCAGCCTTCCAGTTAGCTGAAACTACAGACATGCACCACCACGACTGGCTAATTTTTTGATTTATTGTAGAGATGAGGTCTTGCCAAGTTGTTCAGGCTGGTCTCAAACCCCTGAGCTTAGGTAATCCTCTCGCCTTGGCCTCGCAAAGTGCTGGGATTACAGGCTTGAGCCACTGTGCCCGGCCTTATTGTGGTTTTGTGTTTCTCTTCTTATGACTGAAGTTGAGTATTTTTTAATCTTTGAACTTTTTGTCATTCATTTCTCACATTTGAGTCTTTGATCCTCACTTATTGGTTTGTTGGAGCTCTTTATTAGTCTTAAAAACGTTCTGTCCAAAATTGCAACTTTTTGAGGTCACACTTAGAAAGGTTTTTCCTGTTTCAAAATTAACTTATAAAAATAAAGCTGAAGCACTTTTGTGACTTCATTTTTACATTTAAATATTTAATCTCTTGTTTTAAAAAATATACAATTCTATCTTTTTCTTATTTAATTTATTTTTTAAATTGACAAATAAAAATTAGATCTATTTATGCAACATTTAAATATATATGTATATATGCACACATTATGGGATGGCTGAATTGAGCTAATTAACAGGCACTACCTCACATTCTTGTCATTTTTTTTGTAGTGAGAACACAAAATCTACTCTTAGTGATTTTTAAGTATACTATACATGGTTATTTACTATAGTCATGATATTCAAATATTATGTAACTTCTCCTGAAGAGATAGGGCTGACTGGCAGCCATGTTGGAGGGGAAGCTGATGAAATAGCACAATGGCTTTTGATACAGTGAAGGCTGGAGAAGGGGATACCTAGAGAAAAGTACTGGGCCCGGCAGAGCCTGCGTCCTTGCTATTCTTTTTTCATGTTTGTCGTCAAGGCTCTAGGAGTCTTCTGGGAGCCCAACTCCATGAATGCATGGATGCAGCCATGCCTAAGTGCAGGACTTTGTGGTTGTTGTTAGAGAAACGTGAGCAAGGCACTGTTGAATGTGATGTTTGGTTTTCAGGAAGCCTTGGAATGGGCCATGAAGAACCACTTGTGGGGTCATGCTTTGTTTCTCTCCAGCAAGATGGACCCGAGGACCTACAACTGGGTCATGAGTGGGTGAGTTGGGATGGACAAGACCCATGGAGTGTAGAGGCCCCCTGCATCGAGGTGGGAGTGAAGGTGGGAGACATGCAAGATGCCCTGAGATGTTCACACTCCAGGTCTCTTTCTAAGCTCTTGTTTCTGAGCTGGACATGGCATTCCTCTTCTCCAGATTATTATTATTATTATTTTTTGAGTTGGAGTCTCACTCTGTCACCCAGACTGGAGTGCAGTGGCATGCTCCCGGCCACTGCAGCCTCGACCTGCTGGGCTCTGGCTATCTTTCCATCTCAGCCTTCCAAGTAGCTGGAACTACAGGCGTGCGCCACCACGTCCGATGGATTTTTGATTTATTGTAGAAATGAGGTCTTGCCAAGTTGCCCAGGCGGGTCTCGAACCCGCGGGCTCAGGCAATCCACTCACTTCAGCCTCCCAAAGCATGGGATTACAGGCTGAGCCACCGAGCCTGGCCTCTCCAGATTATTATAGTTTAGACCCAGATACATGCTTCCTGCCTGCTATATTGAATACAATGTGTTAGTAAAATTGCCCAGGGTCAGAGTTTCTAAAAGTTAAGTGGATTTCAACATTGCGGTAGTCTTCTCTGTGAGGGGGGTGGGAGTTGGGAAGGAAGGGGGCTGTTCTAGTAAGTTCCAACAGTGGAGAATAGGTGACCACCTACATTCACCTTGATGGAGCCTCAGGACTAAGGGTTTTTGGTGTAAGTTGGTGTCTACCACTTAGTCTTGCAGTGAGGGTCTGGGTGCTGAGAGGTGGGTAGGGGTGTGGAGTGGTAGGGCTGTGGACTGCAGTAGGAAAAGAAGCTATAGGATGGGGAATTAGGTCCAGAAATCTGCATCTAAGGTAGGGAGGTGCCAAGACTGAAGGGGCATGCTTGGTCAGAAATGATGCCAACACACTGTGATCTGGGTGCCAGCATGGACCAGGAAGAGTGTCCCAACCAGGATGAGATAAGGGTGGAGAAAGGGTATGTAGCTAGGAGTCTGGAATAAGAGAACAAAAGAGACAAGAAGAGAATCAGGATCCAATGGAGGGGTTGGGTCTGGGGCACAGGATGGAGAAGGGTTTCTGAATGAGTCCTCTATGGGCTGGCAGGACCAAACATGTGGTGGGTGGGGTGGGGAGGGATCCTCTTTCTCTGCTTGGGTTAGACAGTGACAGATGTTACCTTAAGTGCTTATATAAATTCTAGAACTGGTTCAAGCTATGGACTACCTTTTCAGCTGAGCATCTCTTTGAATTGGCCATAAATCCTGTTGGGCAGAGGTTGGATAAGATGATGGCACTTCTGCTCTGAGTTCACTCTGTAGAGCTAATGGCTGTCACATGACCTGGGATCCTGTTCTTGTTGATGGCCTCCATTGAGTCTCGTGATTACTCTAGCCCTCAGTCTTCCTCAGTACCCCAGTGACACCGTGGGATATTTCATTATGCTCTGAGACTGGTGTGACGGAGAGCACTGGTGCTGTATTATGAGAAGTCCTCCAAGCTCCTGTGGCAAGGGTGCTGTTGAGTAAAAGATGGTGTTCTCAGGGACGGTTTTCCTCTGGGCTTTGAAAATGAATATCCCATAACTCCACACTGGGGCATACATCTCTGCTACAGATTTTTGCCTTGGGCCATTGATTTTTGATGGGGCCCAGTGAATTGTGAAAAATACCTCTTATGGAGTATGCTTAAAATCTCAGATCAGCTGTAGAGCTTATTATATCCTTGTTAAGCATATCCATGGTTTGTCACCAGCAGGGTCATTTTTGGTCCCTGTTCCACGCCTCTTTGGTTACTGAAAATGGCTATTTAGTGCTTGTGAGCAAAAGCACAACAGTCCCAGGCTTGTGGTGAGCCAGAAAAATGGCGCTGAGTGCTGTAGGCTTGACACAGAGAAGTGCTGGGGGAGCAGGACTTGGGGTGACTGGGAGACCGGACTACTGGGAAAGGCTTCCAGGCAAATGGATGCGGCCCTCCTTTGAGATATCGGTGGGTCACCTCAGTGATGAGGAAGGCCAACAGAAATAGTCATTCCAGAGCTAGGACATCAGGGCCAAAGTGCAGAAAATCTCCCCCTGCCTCCAACAGTGAGATCTGCCTAGGGTGTGGGAATGAATGATGATCCTGCCAATCTCCCTCCAAAGGAAAGATATGGCCGAGGAGCAGCAGAAAGCAAAGAGGTGCGCACGTCCCAAAGAAGCTGCCAAAATCACACAGAAAAATGTCAGAACTTGAGCCCTGCCGGCAGTGGGTACAGAGGCTCCCAGAGTGTGGTCCTCACTGACCGTTCATCTCTCTCTCTCTGCAGCTTCACCAGCACGCTGGCGCTCAATGACCCCCTGCAGACCCTCTTCCAGCTCATGTCCGGGAGGATTCCACAGGCAGCCACGGTACCCTTGTGACAGGATTCCTTCCACACCCTGCATCCTAAGGGCTTGGGGGGTAGGGACAACTCAGGACTGCAGTGATGGCTCTCAGGCTGAAACATGATAACAATCATTTGTTAATCATCTACCAGGTGCCTGGCCCTGTGTTAAGAGCTTTGATGCTGGTTATTTTGTTTAGCGCAGGGAGAAAGGAATTATTATCTCTGTTTTGCTAATGTGGAAATTGAGGTACAAGGGTGTCAAATGACCCAAGATCAGACACAGGTCCAGGTCTGTGTGACTCTAAAGACCTTGCCCTTCCCACAATTCTACAGCTGCCTGCTTTGCTGTGACCAGGGCTGCCCACCTTTTTTCCCTGGAGGAAAACTTTATGCCATTGCACATGGGCATTCAAAGCTGGACGTTTTACATCTTCTAGAGTGGAATCTGAGGCCCACTTGATAGTCTTCCTGTGATAAGAGACTTGGTCTTTTGGCCCCAAAGAATCCCTTCCTTATTTCTAAAGTCCAATAATTTTATTTGGTTATATCTTAGTGTTGATTGCCTGGGTTGCCTTTTCTTGGGATGACACAGCATGCCCTTTTAATATGTACATTCATATCTTAGCGTTCAGGAAAATTTTCTTGTCTTGTATCCTTCAATATTTGTTTTGTTTCTTTTTCTGTTTTTTAGAGAGTCTCACTCTGTCTCCCAGGCTGGAGTGTAGTGGCATGCTCATGTCTATTGCCGCCTTGACCTACTGGGCTCAGGTGATCCTTCCACCTCAGCCTTCTGAGTAGCTGGAACTATAGGAGTGTCTTTGATTTATTGTAGAGATAAGATCTCACCAATTTGCCCAGGCTGGTCTCGAACTTGTGGGCTCAGGCAATCCTCTCACCTCGGCCTCCCAAAGTGCTTGGATTATAGGCATGAGCCATCGTGCCCAGCCTGTTTCATTTTTGTTTTTTGAGTTGGAGTCTCACTCCATCGCCCAGACTGGAGTGCGGTGGCACACTCACGGCCACCCCAGCATCGACCCACTGGGCTCCGGCGATCCTTCTGCCTCAGCCTTCCAAGTAGCCAGAACTACAGGCGCATGCTACCATGCCTGGCTAACTTTTTATGAATTGTAGAGATGAGGTCTCCCCAAGTTTCCTGGGCTGGTCTTGAACCCACGCGCTCAGGCCATCCACTCACCTTGGCCTCCCAAAGTGCTGGGATTACAGGCTGAGCCACTGAGCCCAGCCTTTTCATTTTTTTTTAAAAGGAATGCCATGTACATATGTTTTATATATACACACATATGAAATATATCCACAATTTTCTCTAATAATTTTTATTCTCTCCTTTCTTTCCCCTCCCTCTCTCCATCGCTTCTTCCCTCCTTCTCCCTTTCTTTCCATCCTCTTTCCCTTCCCATGCTCTCACCAGCGTCTCTTGCTTTTCTGCTCTTCTTGCTTCAGTCTTTATTTCTTTGATTCCCTCACTTCTTCCCTGGGCTCTGCATACCACATTTATCTCCTGTCGTCCACCATCTCTTTCCTGAGCCCTTATAACTGAGATTTATGCTCTTGCTTCATAGAAGTAATGATTTCATTATTTTACTTAAGTTCATGATAAAACGTTTGGCGACAATTTCTCATTTGTTTTGTGTAACATTTTTGTGCGAGTGTTCTCTTTACCCTCCGTTTGTTTTTGTGTGACTCTCCTCCTGTGTCTTATGGTATATTTGTGCTGATTCTAGGCTTGTTCCGTAATCTTAAATACTCTTAAAGGAGTTGACTCTTTCTGAGACAAGTTAATTATATTTGACTTGGGCTGAGGAGGGGCCGGGGCCATATTCTAGGCCACCTGGCATCTCTGCATGACCTGGAGTTTTCAGTGTGAAACCTGGTGTGTCCTCCTCCCCTCCTTCTGTGTCCTCTGCCTGCTTTTCCTTGAATACACCTCTGTCCAGTCTTCCTTCCTTCTGGCAGCCTTTGCTCCTCTCTTGAGGTTTGGAATTTTGGTGAACAGAAGTTTTAATGAAAATGGACTCCATGCTTTTGCTTTTTTGTCTTTCTTATTGCTTATGGGCAATTCTAAGAAAAGAAGAGAGAAGTGATGACTTTGGTGCTCCATTGTCAAATTAACTGACTGTTTAGTAACACAGAGTGCACTCACACTTCAGCCAAATGGCTTGGGCTCCCCAGCGAGACTGTGTCACATCCTGGAGCACTACCTGCGGGAGAGGACATGATTAACCGTGGTCCACTGGGCGTTCTGCAATAGTAGGGTTAGCTGAACTTCCCCTGCTTCTAGGAGAGAAATTGGAGGAGCCAGAGGTGATGTGCCAGTGCAGTCTCTGATCTTAGCGCATTTCCCAGCAACCTAGTATCTAGACTTCAGTCCATGTGATGAGTGGGGTGGTGAGAAGCATAAACCTGACAGCACAGACGAAGGTTTCATACCCACTCCTTACCACTCCTTACTGATGCTCCTTATCGCCATGTGAACTTGGCTTTGTTACTCTCACAGACCCTCAGGTTTCCATCTTTGTGGGGATTTTGATGCATAAGCCATAGTTACTGTGAAAATCAAGGAGAGAGAACATCTGAACATATCAACCATCACACTTGGCTCTTTGAAGTTAGTCAATAAATGTTTGTGTTTTTTCTCTCTCTTTGTCTGTGTCCCTCCTCCCCCTTAATAGATCTGACTTACAGCAATCTTTTTCAGTCATGCAGGGAGGAGACAGAATAATGACTTCCCGTTGTGTGTGTGTATGTGTGTGTGTGTGTGGTGTGTGGTGTGTGTGTGTGTTTACAAGGGCTTTTCTCTTTTTATTGGTTCCTTTAGATCAGTGACAAGGGGCTCAACATGCTAAAATGGGAATAGTAGTAGTACCTAGCACATGCGATTGCTGTTCATAGGAGAAACGCTTAGCACAGGGTTTGGCTCATGGTCTGAATGTGATTGAGAATTGCTATTATTATAATGGTCTATCATCATCCTCATTTACACTGCACTGCCCAGATAAACAAGGAGTGGTTATAAAATGAAGTTGGATAAAGCTCCTTTTATTCCTGGGGGTAATTGTGGATAGTTTTGACCTCTAGATTTTAGTTTTTGTGTCAATCTCCTGCTCTATCTGTGTAACAAATTGGGGTTAGACCGATCTGCAAATTCCCTCTCCTTGGCTGAGCTTCCGAGTGTGTGTGTGTATTTACACCTGCGTGCAGTTTATAAAGTGCAAACCAAGTGTGAAGCACTATGCTATATGCTTTATGTGACTATCTTATTTTATTATCAGCAATAACCCCTATAGGTAGAAATGATGATCCCCATCTTAGGGATGAGACAGCAAAGGTTCAAAGACATTAAAAAACTCATACAAGGTGATACAGCTAGTAAGATTCAGGACTCAAGTTGAATCCAGAGCCTGTGTTGGTTCCATGATATTACATTGTTTCTTTATGGATATTTTTTGCCTTGAAATTCTGCTTCATTCAGAGAAGGACAACCTTAGGGCGAGATGGAAGACCCACTTATGTGGCGCTTTGTCTGCTTCCACTATGTTGTGTGCTCTCTGCTGCTCCTTGTTGGTGCCCTGCTGCCTCTGTGTTGCTGTGGGAGGGATGGGGATGGGAGTGGTGTGTGTGTGTGTGTGTGTGTGTGTGTGTGTGTGTGTGTGTGTGTGTGTGTTTTACAAGTTCAAAGATGTTTACTCACAGACCCTAGGTAGGGAAGGTGCCTGGGTTGGAGTAGCTTGGGGGAGGGAGAAAGAGTAAGACAGAGAGAGAGAAAGAGAGAGGAGGGAGGGAGGGAGGGAGGGAGGGAAGGATAATGGGAGTACTTCGAAAGTGACTACAATTTAAAC